GATTCAGTTGGGCGAGATGCTCGCATATGTCACACATCATAGCAAAATCACATAGCCAGGCGGGATCCGACAGTTCAGGCAAGGGCTTTCCTTTACTTTCCATGAAAAGAGCAATTTGTTCTCTGAACTCAAAAAATCTTTTGAGGACTGCGCTCTTGCTCAGCCATCTTACTTCTGTGTGGTATGGCACGTCTCCATGCTCTGCACCCACCTCCTGTAAAAACTGCTGGAACTGGCGATGATTCAGGCCACGTGCCCGTTTAAAGTTAATAGTTTTAATGACTGTGGTCATTATGTCATTCATGTCCAGAACTTTTCCACACATAGCCTCTTGGTGGATAATGCAATGATAAGTAATCAAGGGTGTGTGGCAGTGACTTTTTTGCATTCTTTCCTTCATTAGTCCAACCAAGCCTTTCTTTTCTCCGCACATTGAAGGTGCGCCATCGGTAGTTAGCCCCACCAACTTTTCCCAGGGTAATTTAAAATTATTTATAGATTTCTCCACAGCCTCAAATATATCTCTACCAGTCGTCGTCCCATGCATGGCAGCTACATCCAAAAGTTCCTCAGTGACAGAGAGGTCGGTCTTCGTAGCACGTATAAAGATGGACAGCTGCGCTGTATCAGTGTTGTCTGTGCTTTCATCGATAGCAAGTGAAAAAGCGAGATAACTGCATGCCTGTTCGGCGAGCTGTGATGATAGATTTCCTGAGAGTTCTTGAACTCTATCTGCAATGGTGTTTCTTGACAAACTGACATTTTGAAAACTCTGTATCTGGTCTGGGCATACTTGCTCACACACTTTTAGCATGCATTGCTTCAAAAAGGCACCCTCTGAAAAACACCTTGAAGTACAGGCAATTTCTTCAGCCACTATAAAGCTTGCTTTCACTGCAGCATCATTTTTCGCTGTAGCCTTTGTAAACATTTGCTGCTGTGATTGTAGTTTGCCTTTTAGTTCTTTAACAATTTTATGCTTTTCTTCCAAAGTATATTTGCCATACTTAACATTATGTTTGGTGTCAAAATGACGACGTATATTGTACTCTTTCATCACCGACACTGTCTCATAACACAATATACACACTGGTTTGCCCTCTCTAAGCACAAACATGTATTCATTTTCCCATTTGTCATTAAATTGTCTGCCTTCACCGTCAACTTTTCTTTTCCTGGACATTTTGGGATCAATATTGGCAGTAAAAGATGTAGTTTATTGGAAATCTGCGTTAGAAAGAAAAAGTTGAAAACTGCACAGGGATAGCTTGATTTGGCAGATGGAGTGGAGAAAAAAAAAGTCAGTCAATAAATGCCTGGCTGGGTACAGATAGCAGATTTTGTTGCGATTTTTATGCCTGCACTTTATGCCAGGAACTGGCAGCTTCTGCTGTGTATTTTTTATGCCCGCACACTCACTCTCTCCTCTGCTCTGCCACCCGCACAACCACATCGGATGCCGGACTATAGGTCACGCCTCCTGAATCTCTTGTGACTTGTTATCTATGCTCATGCGTAATAGATAGCAAGTACGGTGGCCAGGCGAGGCGGCCAGCGAGATCACAAGCCTCCTATGTCACCGAGTCATTGTGATGGAATGCAGCGGAGTGCAGTGATGACAGCGCGGTTTGGGCCACATTGCAAGGCCTGGCGGGCCGGATTTGGCCCTTGGGCCTTGTGTTTGACATGTGTGCTTTAAAGAATGCTCTTTAGGTCAGTTTTTCTTTGAGCCTGGAGGGCATGCAGGGTTTTGCTGTTGGGACTAAGTGCTAGAGTTGTGGCAGTTAACTTGAATAGGACACAGGCATTGCCTTACTCATTATTCTTACCAAGTGTTATCATCTGATCCTTAGAGGGAGGGTGTAGAAGATTAAATGACTTTACTATATAAGTGTCAATTTCTTCAAGAAAGATATTTTTACTTTGATATTTAGGAAAAAATGGTGACAAGAATTGACGTTTTTAAACAATCAAGGAAGTAGTTACCTTGAAAGTCTTCTGATACCTTGTGCTGAACTATTTTCAATTGCAATATAGGACATCTTAGATGTGATAATTTTCTGGTATCTTTCAGGAAATTTGGGAGGATTTTATAAGGAAAACTTTCCAAAGAGATAGAACAACCACAGCTTTAGGTGGGTGAGAGGTTGGTGAAGCCCCAGGATAAAGGACAAAAGTATGAACCAGACATTAATTGTTTATATAAGGGTGGGAACATCCAGCCTTGTTGAAGCCCATGAAATCATTTGGTCTGGCCCTGTCAAAGCATTAGTGTAACTGGACAATCAATGGATCCATGCTGCCTGTCACTACTTGAGCCAATTAAGTGGAGACAGGGTTGAATCCTTTATGCGAGTTTATTCCAATATTGCTGGCAGTATGGGAGAGCAGCAGGTCATCCACAAAAACCTGCTCTGCAGCCCCCCATAAGCCAGCTGCTTATATAAGGTAGAACAAAGATTACATGAGGAAATATGAATTATAGGTATGGGAAAGTATGGCTACAGGCATGCGGAAGTAGACTATACAGGCTATCATGTGCTCTAACCAGAGACAAAGAGCTTTGTAATTTCTGAGGTGATGGTGATATGGAAATTTTGGACTGGAACCCAGATTCTTTGTCCGCTGGAGTCGAAGAATAAATCCACAGTCAGAAGGTGGTATAGCGAAGGTAGACATTTATTGAACAATACGGACTCCCATGTGAGGAACGGGAAAGATTCTCTCAGCACAGACGCCCACGTTGGGAGGGGGAAAGCGTTCATAGACTTCCTGTTCCCATGGTTTTTAAAGGCTGCAGTTCCTGTGTCCTGATCTCCCCTCTAATTGGTCAGTATTCCCTTTCCAATTGGTTAGTATAATAACTCCTGAGGCCCTCTTCCCTCATTGTCTGGTCTTCTCATTTCTTCTGGTCTTTCTTCCTCCTTTTTTATTTTGTAAATATAGATCTCTTGGCTACTCCCAGTTACCTTATCTTACGTAGAAGTAACTTGCCTCATTTTAATTGTTGCTGCTTCCTTGTCTTATGGAAATGTGCACTTGGCTTCCTTGTGTTCTGGAAATGTTCCTTCTCCCAGTTAGTAACCCTATGTTTTTTTTGATGGACTCAGTTCTAAAAATTCCCTAAGCCTGCCTATATTCTCCTGAAATTCCTGTTTCAATGGTTTCTTTTTGATCTTTCCAAGTTGAATATTTTCAAGATAATTGTCCCATTTCTGAAAAGTGTTATGTGAAAGTTGGTTCTATAGTGTAATGGTTAGCACTCTGGACTCTGAAAAGTGTTATGTGAAAACCACAAATGAACATTGTCTTTCCATCTTCTTTTTCAGATAGTGATGATCTTCAAATTGAAGGCTCTGAAAACTTTTTGTTCTCGATAGGAACTACAAAAATTGAAGGAAAGAAAATATTTAAAAGGAAATTGTTTTGAAACTGTGTTTACAACTAACTGATACTGTTCAGTTTTTTAAAAATAAAGCCCTTTAAGAAGATTGTATTTATGGTAAGAAGAAATTGGACTTAAAATGAGGCCAAAGACTTTTCCTGCCACGACTTACTCTGGAAATAGTCGGCAACGACTGCAGGAGATTCGTGAGGGGCTGAAGCAGCCCTCGAAGTCTTCCACTCACGGGCCACCTGTGGGACCAAATGACACTTCCCTAGACTCCAATGTCCTGGGGGGCAAGGATATTGCCCGGCAGCAGCAGCCAAGAACTGCCCCAAAGTTTGGCCCATACCAGAAGGCCCTGAGGGAGATCCGATACTCCTTGTTGCCCTTCGCCAATGAATCAGGTCCCCCGGCCTCTGCAGAAGTGAACCGACAGATGCTGCAGGAACTGGTGAACGCTGGCTGTGACCAGGTGGGTGAGCTCGCAGGGCCTGTGTGGCCATCACAGTAAGGGTTCCCCATAAAGGTGGTTTGAGTGGTTCACTATTCAGAGGAGGTTTCCAAGTTAGACCCTTTCTCTCCAAAAGGGTCATTTTCCCCCCAAAAGAAATGCTGCTTTTTCTATTCAGGCAAAATCCAGAATTTTCTGAATTGGGCCACGTGTATCTCCTGTTTTGTCCTTGAGAAGGGCTCTCACATGGAGCTCTTTCTTTGGGGTTTAGTTGGGCTTATTCTAAACTGTCATAGGGAAGAGGAGAATGGTTTCCCTTATCTTGTTTTTGGTTTGTGCAAAAGGGGAAGCTTGATTAACACAAATTGGCAATCCTTGACTGTTTTTCGCTATTTAAAAAACAGTTGATATGCCATTATAGGGGATGCAACTATATTACATCTAACTTCCCATTTTAAGAAACTAGGGGCCCAATGCACGAATTCGTGCACTGGTGGATCCAGCCGGCCCAGCCCCAATTGGGGGCGAGGCCTATCAGAAGGAGGAGATAGTGGGAGGTTGGCAGGCCAGCCCGCCCCATTGGGGTCCGATCAGGGTTGGGCCAGCTGTGGGAGGGGCCATAGGTGATTGGCTGATGGTCCCTGTCCCCAAATGGGGTGAGGGTTTCAAACAGGGGTCAGGTGCCAGGGTGAGGGGCTATGGGAGGTTGTCTGGCCAGTCCCACCCCTGATTGGTGTGGGGGCGGCCAATCGGGGTGGAGCTGGCTAGCAGGAGAGGCAGCAGGCCAATCAGGGTGGTGGGGGCCCATCGTGGGAGGAGCTGGGCAGGGGGAAGGGCTGCAGGAGGTTGGCCAGCCTGTCCCACCCCCAGATCAGGCCAGTTTGCTGGCCGCAGTGGGCATCATTGAGACCAGTTCTGGTTGTTACAGCATTCTGGTCGCTGGCTTTTTATATATATAGATGAGAAAGATTAGAGAAATCTTTGAAATGGTGGCAACATAGGCTGCTTTCTCAGTTGCTTAAGAATAGGGGAACATTAGTGGAGGTGGTACTGATCATGCATAAATACACAATTTATAGCTATACCTTTATGGTCCTGTTAGCAGTTCACAAAGCTAAATAAAACCCAGGTTGAGGGGCAGGGCCATATAACATGGAACTAGTGCTCACGTCAGCAGCACATATAACTAAAATTGGAACAAAACAGAGCAGATTAGCATGGCTCCTGCACAGGGATGACATGCAACTTTATGAAGTGTTCCATTTTTTTTTCCATTTTCTTTTTCTTTTAAATATATTTTTATTGATTTTAGAGAGGAAGGAAGAGGGAGAAAGATAAGAAACATCATTGATGAGAGAGAATCATTGATTGGCTGCCTCCTGCATGCCTCCTGCTGGGGAGAGAGCCTGCAACTTGGGCATGTGCCCTGGCCAGGAATCAAACAGAGACCTGGTTCACAGGTCAGTGCTTAACAACTGAGCCATGCCGGTGGACAGAAGTGTTCTATATTTTTATTGGTGATTACAAAGTAGTCAAAGGTTTGTAAAGTATAGCATAGGGAATAGGTACCAGGTGGGTACTAGAAATATTGTTGAGGAGGGAAGAATACTTTCTAAAGTACTATATGATTGTCTAATCATTATACTGTGCAACTGAAACTAATACGAAATAATATTGAAAGTAAGCTGTAATTGAAAAATAAAAATAAAAGACACACACAAATAAAATGGAATTACTGTTGAGCCAAGGTAAAAATGTAATAAGTAAAATGTAACTAGTAAAAATGTAGTTCCTTTATAAAATGACTATTGAAAGCAAGTCCTTAATTACCATCTGTCATCTGAAAAGTCGCAGTTGCACGAAAATGGAAATAACTTTGGTATTTTTGCTGCCTTGGAAAATTATGATTTCATGGTCTAAGCACATCAGGATGGCTTCAGCACTTTTGGTTTCTTAGAAATATTCTAAGTATGTACTCTTGGCATCACAGTCACAGGAAAAGGTGAACAGTGCCCTCTGTTATGTCCCAAAGAAATCTCAATCCTCCTATTGTAGTTTATTACTATAGAACTTACCTAGAGAATTAAAATTTCTCTGATGTTATGTTCATGAAATGAACCACATATTTTGTAGGGCCTTCCTTGATACTTTAGGATATACTGTGACTAACTTGTGTATAGAGAGCATTATATTGAAAGTTGCTTTTATAAAGCACAGGGTCATGAATGATGTAGTGTGGAGTATTCCAGCAGTGGAAGTTGGCAGCAAAGACATGCCCTTTCTCATTCTGAATATATGAAATTAGATATGCTGTCAGGTACTGCCCCTGTTGGAATGAATTGCTGAGTCTTGCAACCCAACAGTAAAGCTAAAACTTCTCCTGCAAATTACTTGCAAACAAAAGAGGTACTCAGAGCTGGGTATTCTTTGCAGCTGTGTTCAGCTCTGATAAAAAGAAACAACTCAAACAAATAATCCAAAATACAGGTGGGATCCCTTTGTGGTAAAATCCATTAGTGATGATTACAGTGCAAGAAATAATAAAGCTGGTGCTGTTTCCAATACAGTAAAATACAAATACAGTAAAATTGAGGATCACACCAGTAAAGTTCCCATAAACATTTATGTTAATTGCTAGTAAAAAAGACTCCCTTTACCATATTTTAATACTCTTGAAATAATTCAGTCAGTTGGGCCCTAGCCAGTTTCGCTCAGTGGATAGAGCGTTAGCCTGTGGACTGAAAGGTCCCAGGTTCGATTCTGGTCAAGGGCACATGCCCTTGTTGTGGGCTTGACCCCCAATAGGGGGCCGTGCAGGAGGCAGCCGATCAATGGTTCTTTCTCTTCATTAATATTTTTATCTTTCTTTTCCTCTCCCTTCCTCTCTGAAATCAATAAAATATATTTTAAAAAATAATCAGTTGGCTGTATAGTGTTACTTTATAAAACTTAAAATAGAGGTCCCTTCACAGTTATCCTCCAACTCAGACTCTTTTGGTCCAATAGAGGTTGCATTTGCTTTCAGAGAATTCTAGTCGGAAAGTCACTCACTCTGTGAACTTAGATAATGTGAGAGGAAAAGATCAGCAGCACTTCTAAAGCTGTATATATATCTTGAATAAAGCAGATTGTTCCAATTCCAATATAGGTACAGGGAATTCCTATTATTGGAACTTTTCCTCTCTGTCTTCCATTGTAGCGCCTTTTAGTTGAGGTGGTTTTGCTCTTTGGTATTTTAAATCTAAGTACCATTTTAAACCTTATATAACAACTAGAGGCCCTATGTACGAAATTCGTACAAGAGTAGGCCTTCCTTCCCCCAACTGCCAGCACCGTCTTTCCTCCAGCTGCCAGCAGGCACCCAGGACCCGGGCTTCCCTCACAGCTCTGGCTTCTTCCAGAAGGTTGTCCAGAAGGACATCCAGTCTAATTAGCATATTACACTTTTATGATTATAGATGGACTCCATGTTTTCCTTATTATAGGTGTTTAGTGGTGATACACACTTTCATATGCTGTATTCTGTCGCACATACATACATACAAATACACTTTTCCATTTTATTTTGGACTAAGACTTATTAAATACATTTGAATGTTTATAGATACGTATTTTTTTAAAAAAATTGTTACAGTGAAATCTATGTAAGAAAAATATATGATTCCTAAGAAATAGCTCAGGGACTTTTACCCAGCAAATTACACCTATGTACTAGCAGGTATGGGTATATATATTTTTTTTTAAAAAATATATTTTATTGATTTTGTACAGAGAAGAAGGGAGAGAGAGAGTTAGAAACATCGATGAGAGAGAGTCATCGATCAGCTGTCTCTTGCACACCCCCTACTGGGGATATGCCCGTAACCAAGGTACATACATGCCCTTGACCGGAATCAAACCCGGGACCCTTCAGTCCCCAAGCCGACGCTCTATCCATTGAGCCAAACCGGTCTCGGCAGGTATGGGTATATTTTTAAATAGCAATTTCTGGAAAAGTAGAGGACTTGAAGTATTTTCTGTGTAATGGCATAATGTAGAAGTCAAACGGTCCAATGTTCATAATAAACGTTTTGTACATAAATTAATAAAGACATGAAAATTTTTATGGGGGAAAGAAACAAGGCAAATAGACTAATATTCCTTAAGGAAGGAACTGCTATTTATTTATTTATTTATTTATTTTATTATTTATTTATTTAAAATATATTTTATTGATTTTTTACAGAGAGGAAGAGAGAGGGATAGAGAGCCAGAAACATTGATGAGAGAGAATCATCAATCAGCCGCCTCCCACACACCCCCCACTGGTGATGTGCCCACAACCAAGGCACATGCCCCTGACCGGAACCGAACCCAGGACCTTTCAGTTCACAGGCCAAACCGGTTTCGGCAGGAGCTGCTATTTAATATAGATGTAAGGAAGTGGAAAGATAAGTATTTAGAGTAGGGGTGTCGAACTCAATCAGAGAAGGGGCCAAAATCTAAAATCCAGCCTAAATCGCGGGCCGAATGGTTTACTGAACAGTCATAAACTGTCATTGTGATGGAAACGCAGCGGAGTGCAGTGATGACAGCGCGGTGCGGGCCACATTGCAAGGCCTAGCGGGACGGATTTGGCCCGCGGGCCTTGTGTTTGACACGTGATTTAGAGTGTCATTGGAGACTTTAATTACTGGAATAAATAATAATTTCTATTTAGCTTTTACTTTTTCTTTTATTTACTAGGGGCTCAGTGCACAAATTCATGCATCATGAAAGGAATTGTGGGCCGCGGAGGCTGCAGTAGGCACAGGGGCAGGTCTCAGCCCATCCTCTGTGCTCCTACTTGGCCCCTCCCACTGCAGCCCCATTCCTTTGTCTGCCAGCAGCCCTGTTCCTGCCGCCACCACGTGCTGACAGCACTGGCCCCTCTTGCACCCACTGATGGCTATTGGAGTGATTGGGGCTGGCACCAGCACTGGGTGTGAATAGAGCTGGCACCAGCAGCGGTTGTGAGCAGGGCCAGTGCTGGCAGCAGGTGCGAGTGCCAGGCAAGACCTTGGAATGCAGGAGCAAAGAATTTTCAGTAACTACCAGAGGTTTGCCCTGATGACAGCGACCAGCTCGCCTTGGGCTGGCACCACCTCCCTCTCCCCCCCCACTCACCTGCTTCACCATCCCACCATGGCCAATGCCTAACATGTTTCGCACATGCCTCCTGGGGGTCAGCGCACATCATAGCAACTGGTTATTTAGTTGTTCTGCCATTCAGTCTGTTTGCATATTAGCCTTTTATTATATAGGATTTTTGTTGATTTTAGAAGAAGGGAGAGAGGAAAACATAATTTGTTGTTCCACTTTATTTATGTACCAGAGGCCCAGTGCATGAATTTGTGCACAGGTGGGGTCCCTTGGCCTGGCCGGCAGTCAAGGCCTATCAGGGGGGGCCAGCGGCCAGAAGAGGGGTCCCTGGGAGGTTGTCCAGCTGGCACCCTTATTGGGGCCTATGGAAGGGGGCCAGCTGGCTGGGGGAAGGGACTGTGGGAGGTTGGCTGGTCATCTCGGGGTCACCTGGCCAGGGCAAGGGGCTGTGGGAGGTTGGCCAGCTGGCAGGGGTGGGGTCCGCGGGAGGTTGGCTGTGGGAGCACACTGACCACCAGGGGACAGCTCCTGCGTTGAGCATCTGCCCCCTGGTGGTCAGTGTGCATCATAGTGACTGATAGACTGGTTGTTCCTGTCATTTATTCTTAACAGTCACTTAGGTTTTTATATATATAGATTCATTGGTTTCTTCTTGCATGCACCCTGACTGGGAATTGAACCCAATACCTTGGTATTTCAGGATGGTGCTCCAGCCCACTGAACTACCTGTCCAGGGCAGCTTTGACTTTTTAAAGCATTTAATTTCACTTTTTCTGTTCATCTTTATGGTCTCGACTTACCAGGTTTTGCCTCTTTCTTCCTGACAAAGTTTTAAAGTCACTTGTTTGATTTTGCAGTGATGTTAAAATATGTAACATTCCTGCTCCTCAGAAGCATGTGACTTGTGTTTCCAGGGCATGGTTGAGGGCTAACAGGTATGAGGGTGCTCACTGCACTCAGACTACAGTGTGTGCAGTTACAGTGGGGCTGGGAGAGCCAGGAGCTAATTCAGTGGCTCTCAGACCCTTAGAATAACTAAGAAATTTTCCATGTATGTCCCTGAAGGAAGACAGATGAGAGATTTCCTCTAGTCAGGTGCACTAGGAAATGCTTTAAACAGTTGCTATGTGCTTTTTCTCTTTGGACAA